GGGATCGGGCAGTGTTTCGTTCTGCTGTGCATGGGGTCGCTATGAGTCGGAAACGACTCGACGGCACTTAACAACAACAACAACAACAACCTTGGACTGCCAGAAGAACTAACAAATCTGTTCTGGAAGAAGTGCAGTGGATACTCTTTGGAAGAGAGAATGGCCAGACTTTGTCTCACTTACTTTAGTCATGTTGTCAGAAGGGACTGTTACGTGGAGAAGTATATCATGCTTGGTAAAGTGGAAGGGCAACAAAAAAGGGGAAGGCCTTCAAGGAGATGGATTGACACAGTGGCTGCATCGATGGGCTCAGGTATGGCAAGGATTGTGAAGCTGGCACAGAACCTGTTAGTGTTTTGTAGTGTTGTACATAGGGTCACTCTGAGTTGGAGCCGACTCGATGCCACCTTACAACAACAAGAGATGGAAAAGGCAGTGGAGCAGACAGAGATGGAAGAAATGGGAGAAAGGGTAAGGGATGTGTGGGTGCATGTTGCTAATAATTTAAAATGGTGATTTTATAATTTAAAATAGATGTTTCCACTATGGAGGGAAAAAAGTCCTCAGCACTTTGAAATGTCAGATAAGAGGTAGTACTAAGAATCATCCTTGTTTTCAGCACTGAACACTTCACTTACATGAAAAACCTGGAACAGGCAAGTATTAAAAACCTATGCTTATTAGTGGTTATCATGGTAGAAGACAGGAGGATTCATTGTTTAAGGGACACTGAGCTTCTATTAAGGGTGATCGAAAACTTTGGACAGAGATAGTGGTGATGGTTGAACAACAAGATGAACATGATAAATGCTACTGAATTATACATGTGACAAATGTCAAAATGGCAAATATTTTGTTGCATATATATTTATCACAATAAAAATAAGTAAATACAATTTACTGGCTCTTTCCAACTCATTCTAATCTCAAATTCATTTCAAAAATTTCAAATACCTGTTTCATAAATACCAAATTTCCTACTAGATCATTATCAAAATAGCAAGAGGAACTCTGATATTTACTGACAGAAAGCAAAGACATTAGTTTGTAAAAAAGGGAGGGATATTTGGGATGGAGGACTAAAGAGTGTGATTCTACCCCATGTTCCATTATACATTAATGGAAGGATACCGGGGATGAAGAACTATGGACTATGATTGGCTCTATCCAATATTCTACTATGTATTAATGGAGAAATCACTGTTCGGAGCCTAATTTTTCTACTTTGTAAAATGACAAGATTCAATCAGATTGTCTTTAAAATTCTGGAATTCTAGAATTCTTAAAATTAAATTATCATAAATTGTAAGATACAACATTTTAGACATTTCATTTAAATCAGTAAAGTTTCCTCCCCAAAGTCTCTCTTTGGATTTTTTGCTGTTAGATAAAAGGGACCAGGTGAGGACTGACAATGACAGAGTTTTATATTTTACCAGTTACATAATGTTCTTATTTACTTCTGACAATATTCCACTTCATTCTTTCATCTTTATTCCTTCTCCTCCTCTTAACATCCAGCCCAGGGCCTGGCACATGGGAGACACTTGGCATATCCTGGTAGGCTGAATTAATGAATCTTAAATGTTCAAAGAAGACATTAAAATTTACATTCCTTTGTGTCTTCCTAGAAGAATGGCAGTGGCAACAATCAAAGGCAGCATGTCTGGAGAATGCTGAGATTGCTCAGGAAACTGTCACCTCAGCATTCATCTTCTTCCCACATGAGCTATTCCCTCCGACCACTAAAAGCTTGGTAACAGATCATGAGGCTGACACACCATACCTGGGCCGTATCTCTGTTGGCATCAGGCAGCGCCATGATCATGAGGTGTAAGGCTTGAAACTGTACTTTGATGTGAGGCCCTCCTAAAAAGCAAACAGAGAAATAATCACATATTTTAACACCACTGATGTATTCTGACAGCCATTTCTTGCTAACATCTGGTGACACAGGAGGATCACTGGCAACTTTCAGTGTGAAGACAAAGTTTGTGCCCAGCAATGTAAATGTGCTCACTTTGGATGGGGGCCTCAGTTTATCAACTCTCTTTTCGTATTTCATGATGCCTCTTTAGGGGAAAGCAGACAAAAAGATCTTCAAAATCACCATGGACTTATGTAGCATGTCCTTTTTCAGCACAATGTCACATATCATGCTTTACTTTTATGTTATAGGCAAAAGACTTGAAACTCAATTTAAGAGAAAAGAAATCTCACACCCATGTAATGAGGAAAGAAAGTATACGCACATAGATTCTACAAACAGGTTGAAATCCTGCCTTGATGACTTAATAGGGTAATGTAACCACTTGTAGCTTCTATTTTATCATCTGTAAAATGGGGTAGTCATAGTATCTACCACACAGGGCTGTTATGAGGAGCCAGTGAATTAAAACACATAGCACTTAAGTCCATATGTGCATATAGTTACTGCCATATAAGTGTTTGCTATTGGTATTATAATCCATGACAGCTAATTCTAGCTTACATGGACATTTAGGCAAGGTGACCAGGCTTGACTCTAGAATTTCTTGAATATTTTATTCTTTAACAGTGACACAAGAGGGCAGCAAAGGGCTGGAACTTACACGTATGTTCTCAATGCCGGCTTCTTTCCCAGGAATCTTAGGGATAATCCACAACCAGCAGTGTTGAAAATTCAGAGTACAGAAAAAACTTAGAATCCAGGCTTCCCTTTGTCTCTCCACATTCTCTTCAAAATGATTTCTTGGTGAGGCCTGCTCGGGAGAGCATTGTGCTCTAGAATCCCTGAGGAGTTCTCAAGTTAAGGAAAATCTATTGCCACTCAGTGGCTGAAAGGCAGTCAGCTGCCTGTAAAGTTACTCTCTTGGAAAAACTCTTGTAACAAGCTTCTAGATTACAGAAGGTTGTGTGCACCAGAGTAATGAGGAGATGACTGTTGCTAGGTTTTGTAGAGCTGTATCTGACTGTACCTGACTCATTACGACTCTATGTACAACACAACGAAATACCGCCTAGTCCTGTGCCACCCTCAAAATCGTTATGCTTGAGCCCAGTGTTGCAGACACTCTGTCAGTCCATCTCAGTGAAGGTCTTCTCCTGTTCTGCTGACTCGCTTACTTTGCCAAGCATGGTATCTTTTGCCAGGAACTGGTTCCTGATAAAATGACAAAAGTGAGAGAGACAAAATCTGACCATTCTCACTTATAAGGAACATTCCGGCTATACTTCTTCCAAAACAGATTTGTTTGTTCTTCTGGCAGTCTAAAGTATATTCAACATTCTCCACCAACACAATAATTCAAATGCATCAATTCTTCTGACGTTTTCCATAGTCACTATCCAGCTTTCACAAGCATATGAGGCAAATGAAAATACCATGGCTTCAGTCAGGCACGCTTTAGTCTTCAAAGTGACATCTTTGCTCTTAAACACTTTAATGGGGTCTTTTGCAGCAGATTTGCCCAGTGCACTATATTGTTTGATCTCTTGACTGCTGCTTCCATGGATGTTGATTGTGTATCCAAGTAAAATAAAATCCCTGACAACTCCAATCTTTTCTCCACTTATCATGATGCTGCTTATTGGTCCAGTTGTGAGGATTTTTGTTTGCTTTATCTTGAAGTGTAATTTATACTGAAGGCTGTACTCTTTGATCTTCATTAGTAAATGCTTCAAGTCCTCTTCACTTTTACCAAGCAAGGGTGTGTCATCTGCCTATCACAGGTTGTTAGTAAGTCTTCTGCCAATTGCCATGTTCTTCTTCATATAGTCCTCCTTGGATTATTTGCTCAGCATATAGACAAATAAGTATGGTGAAAGGATACAACCCTGATGCACACCTTTCCTGATTTTAAACCATGCAGTAACCCCTTATTCTGTTTGAATGATTATCTCTTGGTCTATGTACAGGTTCCTCATGAGCACAATTAAGTGTTCTGGAATTCCCATTCTTTGCAATGTTATCCATAATTTGTTATGATCTATATAGTCAAATGGCTTTGCATAATCAATAAAACACAGGTAAATATTGTTCTGGTATTCTCTGCCCTCAGTCAAGATCCATCTGACATCTGCAATGATATCCCTCATTCCATGTCCTGTTCTGAATCTGCCTTGAATTTCTGGCAGCTCCCTATGGCAGTTCAAACTCACCAGTCACTCCTCAGAATGAAGGTTGGGCAATCTACTTCCGTAGTGATACAGCTTCAGAAACCCAAGGAGGGGTCGCTGTGAGTCGGGTCTGACTCCAGGGCAGTGAGTTGTGGGTTTTTTTTTTGTGATATTAATGATATTGTTTGATAATTTCCACTTTCTGTTGGATCACGGTTCTTTGGAATGGGCACACATAAGGATCTCTTCCAACTGGTTGGAAATCTATTGGGATAAACGAGAATGAGTGCTTCCAGTATTGCATCCATTTGTTGAAACATTTCAATGGATATTCTGTCAATTCCTGAAGCCTCATTTTTCACCAATTCATTCAGTGCAGCTTGGATTTCTTCCTTCAGTATGATTCTTGATCATATGCTACCTCCTGAAATAGTTGAATGTCAAACAATTCTTTGTGGTGCAGTGACTCTTCTTTTGATGCTTCTTGCATTGTTCAATATTTTGCCCATAGAATCCTTCAATATTGCAAAGCAAGGCTGGAATACTTTTCAGTTCTTTCAGCTTGAAAAACACCAAGGGTGTTCTTCCCTTCTAATTCCAGGTCTTTGCACACTTCATTGTAACACTTTACTTTGTCTTCTTGAGGTGCCCTTTGAAACCTTCTGTTCAGCTCCTTTACTCCATTATTTCTTCCACTGGCTTCAGTTACATTTAATTTTAGAACAAGTTTCAGAGTCTCTTCTGACATCCATTTTGGTCTGTTCTTTCTTTCCTGTTTTTTTTAAATGACCTTTTGCTTTCTTATGTTCTCAAAGCTGGCTTCTTTCCCAGGAATCTTATGGATAATCCACAACCAGCTGTGCTGAAAATTTAGAGTACAGAGAAAATTTGGAATTCAGGCTTCCCTTTGTCTCTCTGTATTCTCTTCAAAATGGTCTCTTGGTGAGGAGTCCTAGGGTGGAGCATTATGTTCTAGAAACCCTAGGGAGTTCTCAAGTCAAATGAAAATCTATTTCTACTCAGCAGCAGAAAGGCAGTCAGCTGCCTGTAAAGTGATTCTGTTTTACAGCAATGGAAACACTCTTGTGACAAGCTTCTAGATTACAGAAGGTTGTGTGCACCAGAATAATTAAGGAGATGATTAGTGTATATAATCATATAGAAAAGGAACGGTTAGGATGAGTGTTTACAGATCCATATAACACTGTCTAAACTTACACAGATTTTTAGATATTTATGTCAAATCTATAAACAAAAAATGACCCAGGTCCAGGATGTTACTAAAAATGACTGATGCATGTTGACATGAGCTTGCTTGAATGTAGGAACTATCAAGAATCAATACAAAGTATTTATGGACAAATAAGGCATTGTTTTAATGCAGAAACTACAGGTGGATGGCTGCCTATAATCTTTGAATGCAATCAGAAATAACTTCTGAAGGAATAAAAACCAATAGAAACAGATGTGGGCTGGAGACCTCTGTAGTTCTCTGCACCTTCTGAAATGCCCTTTAATATAGTAAGTTTAAATTGGCAAATAATCCATTTTCATTTTACTTAGGAATCTGACTCCATACTCTTTCGAAGGCAATAGTTTTGTAGTTAATTCATTTATTGCATCCTAGTTGAGAATCATCTTTTTCCTGAGGTCATTATTTCCCCCAGAAAGTTATTAAGATTTTCATGAAAGTGTCTAAGATTTGAATGATGAACTATTAGTCCTCTAATTTTAAGGGCAATTTTTTGGCCAAGTTTGAAAAGAGAAAGTGATTGCACTAGTGGAAGAGACTCTCAGCTCTCTAAGCTGAGTTTTAGAGTACAGAACGAAGAGGAACAGCTTCAGCGCATCCATGCGCATGCTCATAATTCTCTCCTTCAGAACATCAGGTTACAATTAGATTTACTCCAGGTGGCAAAAAGGCCATTTTTTTCCTGTTGGTAACAGACCAGAACTCTAGGTTTCCTGCAGGGTTGGCTGGTAGCAAATCAATCACTAGCAATACAGTATTTTTCCCTTTTCAAGTCATACAAAAACTGTGGAATCTTCTGTGAACTTTTTCAGGATATTTTTCAGATGCTTCAGTGAAGTGTGCTGACTACAATCCGGGAGCAATGATGTGAAGGGGAATGAATTCATGTGTATACCATTCTTAAATATGATTCTCTGAACAGGTCTGGTATTAAAGGTTTGAACCCTCCTTGCGTAATACCAAGCAAAACAAAACAAAACAGCCCAAAGTACAAACAATAAACCCCAGTGGTTCCACTCTGTCTGCTGAATTGTTTAGCATATAAACCACAGATAAAGGGGAAGCTAATAATTCTTCAGTTCCTTTTCTAGATCAAACTTCACAGGAACGCTCCATGCTTACTGATGTCAAAATAAAGAGAGGGTGGTCTGCTTCTGGTATGGCTAAGTACCTCTGGGTCAACTCTCCTGAAAATACACCTATCAGGTGTGGACAAAATACAAAAAACAATTACCTGAAGGGGTTCCGGCAAGATGGTGGACTAGGCAGAAGGATTGCACAGACCCTCTTCAACAAAGAAAAGGGAAACCAATTAACACAGACACAGAAGATAATCTTGGACCTCTGACCC